CATCGTCACTATCGTTATTCATATACCAATATTATATATAATTTGAATTTATTAATACTTGTATGAATAAATAAATTGGATTTAAACTAAAATTGAAAATTTAAAAATAAATTCATCCCGACGAACCCGAGAAAAAGATCATGATGGTCGAATTATAAGGGTGGGTATCGCCGTAGACGAATTCCTCCTCCCTATGCATGCAAGTCAGGTTTAGAACCCTAAAATTCCTCACATCATCATACCAGTTCCCCCTGGATTTCTCGAATATCATTGAAACTTTGTGGATGGGCCTGCCATCGTCAGATGTCAGGTTGGTCCTTGCGTAGGGGAGAGGGAGGTGTCGAAACCAGTGCCATCTGTGCCCGTTGAATGAGAACTGTTTGTTTGTTTAGGTTTGTTTGTTTAGGTTCGTTTGTTCGTTAGTTTGTTTGATTGTCTGTTTGTTTTTATTAACTTAAGCTTGTTAAAGTTTTTTTAATTCACAATATGCTAATTTTATAGTATGTGTTTGTCGTTGTTTTATTAGTATTGTTAGTTCATCCATTCGTTCATTCATTCATTCGTTCATTTGTTCATCTCTCAATTTATTTACACACCATGATATGTCGGTGTTGATAATGATCATGATAATGATGACGCGTTGGTGTTGATAATGATAGTCTCAATGATGAATTTATTTCCTGTTTCGGTTCAATTAATTATTATTTTATCTCAGTAAAACAAATTTCATTTTTCCGCACATTCCTACAATTATCATCAGATTTCACACACACACAACACGCACACACATATACACACGAAAACATACATACAAACAAACACACACACACACACACACACACACGAAAACACACACACACAAATACACATACGCACACAAACACACATACACACATTGTATTTAGGTCGACAATTAAAATTATCACCATCCGCCAGTTTAATAATATAATTATTTATATTATATTATATATTTTGAGTTTGAAATTTATTCAAATTAAAATAATTATAAATATGATGGTACCAAGCATGGTTAGTGTGTATAGTTTATACTGTAATGTGTATTTGTATGTATGATTGCTGTGTGTATGTATGTTTGTAACTGTGTGTGAGTGAGTATGTGTGCTTGTGTGTCTGTGTGCGCATATGTATGTGTGTGTATGTGTGCGTGTATGTGCGCGCGTGTGTGCGTGATATAATTTAATTATATAACAGGTGCGGTTTTTGAGACAGTTGCTGGTGAATTCTTAAAAAGAAGTTTTTTGAAGATGCTACTATTATAATTATTATACTTACAATTCTATCCAAATTATGAAAAAATATTAATTATAATTGGAAAGTATTTAACCTTTTCTACTAATTTTTCACGATGTTAAGAAAGTATATTAAATTTAATTGTTTCTGTTCATTTGTTTTCTTGTTTGTGCATTCGTTTGTTTAATTGTTTGTTTGTTTGTTCGTTCGTTTGTTTGTCTGTTAGAATTACAAAGTTATCTAAAGTTCTCCATCCTTCAAAGTTCTAGACAGCCCTCATTGGCATACACTTATTCATGGAGACTGCATACATCACAGCACACAAACAAACAATACAAACAAACAACCATACATACATACAAAAATACACACATACAAACAAACATACATACCCCTGTGAAATCCACCATTTTAGTGCCATAGCAAGAGATTGATATTTTGGAGTTGTGGTCACCGCCGGCCACATATATCCATGAATATCTCGTACTCATATTTTTATTTTCGTCGAATTTGACATTGAAGTAGTGATTGTAGCTGCTGTGGATGGTGTGGTTGTTGTGGTTTTGGTTGTAGTTGCCACTGTCGCTGAAGTTTTTATCGATGTAGAAATTGTCGTCACTGGATAGGAAAAAATTTTGTACTGGTTCAACTCCGTCTATAAAGATTGTTGGATGTTCTTCGTTCACGTATATTGTCTTTGCTCGGTCTTTTTCTGTTGTGTTTTTATTAGATTTAGGAGTGTTTTTGGTGTGTTTTTTGGTGTGTTTTTTGGTGTGTGTGTGTGTTAGTCGGAGTATGTATTGTTTGATGTGTGTGTGTGTGTGTTGTTTGATGTGTGTGTGAGTGTGTTGTTTTGATTGCACATGTGTTGGTTAGCAGTATAGATAATCAGGTTTGTAATTAGAGGCGAGCATGGAAACGGAAATCGCGGGAATCCCATGATTGGGAATTGGTGAAATGTAATTTTTCCGTAATTTTAGAGAATAAAGAATTGCTGTTCGGGAATCGAAAAAAATAACATCTACCGGCGAGACCCTATACAACTCTTTATAACTATATATAACCCTATATAACTCTATATAACTCTCTATCCTTTAAGTAAAGCTTTTAACTCTGCTGCTCGTCTAGTTGCCCGTGCTCCTTTCACTTCTCATATATCTCCATATCTTGTTCTCTTGCACTGGCTACCTACAAAATATGGAATAATTTTTACAATTTCCACTTAATGTATAAGTCTCAATCTAAATTCTTTCCTAAGTTCTTATCAGATATATTAAATGAACCTAAAAGCCCCGGGTTTACGATCGTCTTCTTGTTCTCACTTCTTCTTAACTCGTGTTAAACACTCTTTTACAAACTCTGCATTTAATTTTTCTGGCTTTTTTCTCTGTAATAAAAGAGAATCCAAGAGGGAATCTGGAATGAGAAAATAAAATGGGAGGGAACTGGGAATAAATTTCAATTCCCACTCACCTCTATTTGGAATGTCTGTGTGTGTTGTGTGTGTGTGTTGTGCGTGTGTGTAATGTACACAAGTTTGTTAATTTGAGTTGTGTGTTTGCATGTTTATTGAGGAAGACTGCAGTGTTAATTGTACGTACAGGATAATTGTTAAGTTGGATAGTTGCGGTTGGTGTGTGTGCGTGCGTGCATGCGTGTGTCTGTGTGCGTCTGTGTGCGTGTGCGTGTCTGTGTATGAGTGTCTGTGTGATTCTTTAATAAATATGTGTCTATATGCGTTATGCAAAATTAATTAAATTTAATAATACGTGTTCGTGTCTAAAGTTAAAATAGATATAAATATATAGATATCTTAATAACATTTAACATAGGGGTGAATATGTATGTATATATATATATAAATTTGTGTTGGTGTGTGTGCTTGTTTGTGCATATATGTGTGTGCGTGTTTGAATCTAGGTGTAAGTGCATTTGGGCGAATATGCATGAGTATGTATAATATCAGCAATAGGTTATTAGATTATATTGTTTAGCCAAGGCAAAAATAATAAAACATACAACATTGATGATAATAAAAACAACAACAATAATAATAATAACAACAACAACAACAAGAATAGAAACAATAATAAGGAGAAGAAGGTTATCAGCAGTTTATGCATAAACAATCGCCATGTTAAACGACAATTAAATAAAACTTCATTACATAAACAGATTAATTATAATAAAGATTTCTACAGAAAGCGATAATAATAATAATAATAATAATAATAATAATAGTAATAATAATA